ATTGTTTTGGGCACTTTTTTTATCCTCAAATAACTGTCAAACACTGAAAATCTATATAAATATAATAGTACTGTCTGTTGTCTGTTGTATGTCCATGTAACTACTTCCCAGGGTGTGGACGGAGCTTCAACAAATTTGGTATGAAGGTTCTTTGGGTTCATGGAAAGATACATACAAAATTTTAGTTTTGCATTTTGCGGTTTTTATGGACGTTTTTGTGTTTTTTACCACTACTTCGCCCCCTTTGATGGATCTTCACCAGATTTGGCATGAAGGTTTGTTGGTTCCATGCAGAGATACATGCAAAGTTGCGGTTTCATATTTTATGTTTTGCAGTTCTTATGAGCATTTTGAAAGTTTTTTTACAATTACGTATAAGGGAAGCAACTTTTCTTGTCCTAAGATAACCTTTCATTAATCGAGAACTTACATAACGTCCATCCAGGGAACGGGTACTCCAACAAGTGAATAATATATACATGAACAAAAATGAAAACCGAAAGGTCAGTGAAAAGGTGGTTATCTTCCCATTTTTCAAAGCAGCTGTCTTTTGCGTTTTCAGATCTAAATCTCCAAACGTCACCTTAAAAGGATTTAAGCAGAGTTTTAAAAAAAAGATAAATTCTTCATATCCACCATAGTGAAACTTACCATCAATCTTTCAAAATTTATCAAATCCCCGAACTTAGCGAACAATTTATCGCGAGCGGGGCGAAAGGGGACATGAACACCCTAGTTTGGGAAATTTTCTTTCCTTTAAAAGCTAAATCCCTGTCACCGTATTGTTTTATTTTGTTTATTATAAATACATTTCTTGTTAAAGTCCCCACCAATTGATCACGTAGTGGGGTGAAGGAAAAGCAGAAATTTCCGACCCTAGCTATCTTTCAGACCCCTTCGGGTCCTGAAAAATACTTGACTAAAATAATTACCACAGATCTGACGGAAACAAAAACAATCATCTAAATTTTACGACTTTTTTTTTAAGGGTACCCCTTTGTGAGCTCAAAACTTGTTAGAAGTTACTGTAACATATTCTTCGCGGTCGTAAAATAGAACAGTTATGAAATAATTAATTCACAAACTCTAGTCGAAAGGTTATACGCATGTTATGGAAGTATCAAAGTATCAAATGTAATCCTTGTGTAAACCAAGATGTTAAACTTGTTAGGTTTGTAACGAATTTGTTGTTATATATTTGTTTTAATGTCAACGTTTGTTTGGATGGAGTTTATATTTAAAAACATGCCTAGCTTATAGCGTTATATATGTATTAAGAAACTCCCGTCTATTTTCCAAAGTTGTAGAAGATTCTCGAGAGTAAGAATCAAAAATATGTGTGTGTGTACGTAAACGCTTTAATTTGCATTGTTGCGTAATCTGAATTTTCTAGAAATTCTTCCCACGCCTATAAATACAACCAACGC